TATTTTTTAAACAAATGCACAATGCAGTAAGTTATGGAAATTAATTTCACTGCTTTGTATTTTTGGCTTTTAAAATGTACTAAATTAAAAGGCTACACAGTGTTCCCTTATTAAGTTTATATCAAAGACCAGAGTAAATTATTTTGTAATTATTGGATATGTGGATACATGGATACATGGCAGAAATGACTAACCAAATAAGTAAAACATACTTTTTTACTTGGACTATGCATATAGAGTGTATTCTATCTTTGTTCGTGGGCTTAGCTTTTACAATTGAGAAAAATGAACACCACTTTTACATACTATGTGCCTATGTGATCCCCATACATGTACATTTGTTGGCATGACATAAAGGAGATAAAATGTGAAGAAATGCATGGAAACATCATGGCAGGACTTTGCCTTTTTGACTGTTGCCTGTTCTGCATATGGCCTTGACCCACTTGCACATAAATCCAACTGAATATTTGTGTCATGGCCCCGCCTAGAGTTTGTAAGTTGAATTCCTAACTCCAAAGGTGATGGTAACTGGAGATGAGACCTTTGGGATGTAATTAGGATTAGATTAGGTCCTGTGGATGAGTCCTTCATGATGAAACTAATCGTTTAAAAAATTTAAAAAAAAAGGAGATTTCCCACCCTCCTCTCAGTGCTTGCCAATAAGAAAGCCCTTGTGAGGACATTGTAAGACGGTGTCCATCTGCAAGCCAGGAAGAGACGCCTCACCAGGAATAAAATCATCTGGTACCTTGATCTTGGACTTTCTAGCTTCTGGAAGTGTGAGAAATCTGTTTTTAAAGCCACCCAGCCTATGGTATTTTCTTCTGGGAGACTGAGAAGATTAATGTAATAGCCTCTTGGAGATTTGTATAAGCCAGCCCCATTTCAAATTACAAAATCAAAATTTCTGGGGGCTAAACACAAGCAATTTGATAATTAAGTAAACTTCAAGATAACTTTAATTTTAAACACAAGTTTGAAAACCAATAGAAAATTTCTAAAAATTAGAGTAACAACATACTTGATCGTCCAAACTGGCACACAGTGTAGAATGAAAGGAAGCATTGCAGTAGTTAAGCCAGGATAAGAAAATCTGAAAATTTCTTGAGAAAACCATTACACAAGATCATTTTGCCTGTATAGCTTCACATTTAACCCATTTTTTCTTTAAAAACATATTCTACTTGATGTTTTCTCTATGTTCAGATGTAGCTTCCTGCATAAAATTTTGGTGGGGAAGAATGAATGTATGTATCTGTGTGGTGAGAGTGTGTACATGTGTTTACTCATAATATATATTTTATTCTGTTAAAAAGCCAGGTGGGAGTGTAAATTAGTTCAACTATTGTGGGAGACATTGTGGTGATTCCTCAAGGACCTAGAAATAGAAATTCCATTTGACCCAGCAATACTATTACTGGGTATATATCCAAAGGATTATAAATCGTTCTACTATAAGGACACATGCACACGAATGTTCATTGCAGCACTGTTTACAATAGTAAAGACCTGGAACCAACCCAAATGCCCATTGATGATAGAATGGACAGGGAAAATGTGGCACATGTACACCATGGAATATTATGCAGCCATCAAAAATAATGAGTTCGTGTCCTTTGTAGGGACATGGATGAACCTGGAAACCATCATTCTCAGCAAACTGACACAAGAACAGAAAATCAAACACCACATGTTCTCACTCATAGGTGGGTGTTGAACAATGAGAACACATGGACAGAGGGAGGGGAGCATCACACACTGGGGTCTGTTTGGGGGGAAATAGGGGAGGGACAGTGGGGGGTGGAGAGTTGGGGAGAGATAGCATAGGGAGAAATGCCAGGTATAGGTGAAGGAGAGGAAGGCAGCAAATCACGCTACCATGTGTGTACCTATACAACAATCTTGCATGTTATACACATGTACCTGAAAACCTAAAATGCAATACAAAAGCCAGATACTATGCTACACATTGAGAATGGAAGGTAAGCTGTGAATTACTCTTGAATTTAATTTTTTGATAATTTTTTATCACAGTATTGATAAGGTGTAAATGTTTACCATTTTCCCCTAACTTACTTCAACATTGTTCAGAATTTCAGATGAATTCATTATGTGATCCAGATACCACACTCATTTGTGTTTACCCAAATGAGTTGAAAATTTATGTTTATACAAAAACCCATACGCAGATGTTTATGCAGTTTTCTTTATGATGGTTGAAACTAGGAAGCAAGTAGATGCCCCTCAGTAAGTGAGTGAATAAATAAATTGTGGTGCATCCAGACAATGGAATATTAGTCGGAGTTAAAAAGAAATGAGCTACCAAGCTGTGAAAAGACATAAAGAAACCTTAAGTGCCTGTGACTAAGTAAAAGAAACCAATCCGAAAGGCTAACTGTATCGTTCCAAATGCCTGACATTTTGGAATGGGCAAAAATATGGAGACAGTAAAAAGATTAGAGGTTAGTGATTGCCAGGGGCTGGGGGAGGAGAGGGATAAATGTACAAGAGAGACAATTTTTCGAGCAGTGAAACTATTATTTTGACACTATGAAGTAGTTTAATGTCGTCATATAGTTGTCAAGTGTGAACTCTATTGTAAAATCTGGACGTTGGATAGTAATGACGTGTCAATGTAGGCTCATCAATAGTAGCAAATGTACCATTCTGGTATGCAATCTTGTTCCTGGGAATGCTTTGTGCATGGAGGAGGCAAAGGGTATATGGGAATTCTTTGTACTTTCTGCTCAGTTTTGCTGGGAATGGACCTAAAACTGCTCTTAATATAGTTTATTTAAAAGGAAAAAGAAGAAGTTACTGTATTTCAGTTGTAATTTAAGTGATGCCAGTAAATGCATCTGGCTCCATGTTAGAAGGTGATTATCTTTTACCGAAATCATGTTGCTATGGCGATTTGACTGAAACATTTTCTGATTATCTGTATGTCTCCAGGAGGGGTCATAGCTAAGCACATGCAACTGGGCTATCCTCAAGAGCATTATGATTTTAAGTTAAAGCTGAGACAATAGTTTCAGAGAAGTATGTGTCAGTTCTCAATATGATCTTTTCTTTCCACGAGCAAATTTGGCCGGCAAGTTTCTCCCCATTCACCCTGGAAGTGGTTGTCTTACAAAAGAAAGGAAATAAAGGCACTGTAATGAAATTATTGAAGTCCATACCATAAAACAGAAAATTTTGCTGTTTTACCTTCTCTGAACCTCTTTAATTAATAACATTCATATTGTATAAAATAGATATGTGTCATTCACTTCATAATGCTTAGTTTTACCTTTACATATCTATTTTGCAAAACTCACTAATGCTTTTATTGTAAACCTTTATCTTTGATAACAATCTCATATTTCTCCCCACCAAAAACAAGTCCCATATATAATGAATTCTCCTTAGGAAAGATATTTTTATTTTTTAAGTAGTAGAAAATATAAATTTCTTTCACAAAACAATTTCATAAATTCTTTGCTTGTTCATTTCTGTATCAGTTTGATTCCTACTAATGTAATTCTCATATGATAAAACATTGTTTTTTAATAAAGGTGCTTGAGGCTTTTTTATATGCATGAGTTAGATGAATCATTTATTATCACGCTATTATAATTTATTTTGATAAGAATAATTTTCATTCCTATTTAGCTTCAGGAAAGTTTTTCTGAATTCCTTCAATTATATGTTCACAATATGTGAAAGTAATGGGATCTTCTTTTCTGATACCTGAGGCTCTCCTCTCAAAGTCATTAGTACCTAACTAAACAATTCAGTAAAAAAAGAAAACTCATTTACTTTTTTATATTCAAAACAAGTGACAAAACAAGTGATTGAATACTCCTTTCTGTTTTTAAAGGCTATTTTTAATGTAAAATATAATTCCTTTCTTCTTATACTTTAAGATAATGCCAGTAAAAGTATTTGGTAAAACCTGTAAGTAAGAGTTATAGTTGACAACTTCTTAAGAATTATACTATAACTAATCAAGTACAAGTTTGATTAAAAGTCATTGGTGTATTTATTAAAGATGACATGATTCAAATCTTTTTAATGAAAATAAGTTTGTTAATGTCTTATGTTCGAAGTATCAAATATGTTTATATTTTATAATTATATGCATATATAGATGGACACATAAATATATGGTACACATAAATATATATATATATTTATATACAGGTTTATGATCTGTCTCATGGACATAAGGACAATATTCTATGTCATTTCATAGTTAATAGCCGCTGAGTAAATGTTATCCTCCAGAAAATGTGTTTTTGGTTTGTAAAATGTAAGGCTCTATTAACAGAGCTATTTAATTTAGGTGTGTAGGGGTAGGTGTTTATGTATGTCTAATCACAAATGGGGATTTAATATTTTTCATTTCTTTATTCAGTCCAATCGTTCATCATGCAAAAGTGTGTTAAACGTCCCTCTTTGCGCTACTAAGACAAAAATGTGACCTTTACATATGATTTACAGAATAAATCTTATCATTTTCTTTATTTTGCCTAAATACTTAGATCTAGTTCTCCTTAAAGTTGTTTCTAACAAAAATAGTGAGTTTCTTAATCTTTGATACATGTTAATATGGCGCCTGCTTATAATCTCAGTTTAAGTGTCCAAAGTCTTCAAATGTTTCCCATCATTAAACATTTATAACTCTGCCAGGAAGCAATGTAAATTGTTCTGTAAAGGGGAAAATTAACTTCTGCTTAAATCAATGTGACCATCTTAGCTGACACTTCTGAGGAGCTCAAGCGGTAAAATGTTCAGCACACTAGCCGTAGGAATAGGGTGGCAGGACTGTCCTTGAGGGATCATGTACTTTAAGAAATGCAGAGAGGTAGGTGTCTTGGTAAGGTATTGTTTTTCTCAGATTGTGTGGCTTTATCTCAAAAATATGCTATTTTAAAAGACATTTCTTAAAACGTGTGTGTTTGTTATACTTGTTTATTATATAACTCATACTGTTTATTAAAACATATGTATTACAGGAGTTATTAGAACAGCCTTACATAACATGGACAGAGAAGCCAGAGAACATTACTCAGTGGTTATTCAAGCCAAAGACATGGCTGGGCAAGTTGGAGGGCTTTCAGGATCTACAACCGTCAACATCACCTTAACCGATGTCAACGACAACCCACCACGCTTTCCTCAGAGTATGTATTTGTTTTCCATGACTTGAATTTATCATTATCTTTTTATGTAAAGCAAAATGAAATACTTGAACAATGTCATGTTGCTGTTTTACTGTTTTTTTTTTTAAGTGGAATTGTTCCAATTTTGTGCTATAGGGTCACCCTTCTTTATGTAAGATTAATGAAATCACCCTGCCTATTGTCTTCTGAACCTACAAGATAATTGGGACCATGTTAAGAATTGGAGTTTCATTTAGCATCAAGTTAAATATTAAAAATTATGTGGTGGTACTAAAAAATGGCATCTTCCCTTTGACAAAGTAGCTGTGTATTCTTAAAGTATTCATGGAGATGTTGAAAATGTATTTTGATGCAAATATTCTTCTAATGCAACATTATTACATAAATACTTTCTGTTACTGAAATTAAAAAAAATATTCATGTTATGAATGAATGCTCTATACAGACACATGGATTCAATCACACACACATACACACACACACATCATCCAAAAGCAAGTTGTAGCTAATATGATAAGATGGGATCTTAGTAAAATATAAGACTTGAAAACAGAAAGCATAATTCAGTAGGCAATTTGCGGGGAGACAAGCCATATGAATCCTGTGGGTTTGGAGGGAGATGGTATTTATGACACATTCTGAATGTAAATGATATAATTATAATATATTGGAGTATTTTAAAAATGGAAGATACTATAGATAACACTTTATATGATAGTCACTAATAATCAAAAATATCCTTCAGGGGAGCTGGCTCTTATGTTCATTTTACAAATGATGTTTAAAATCTGCAATAAATTAAATGCTTTGGTATGTCATAAAGGCTCTTCTCAAGTCAACATGAAATGCCTTTCTCAGCTTTATCTCTTGTCTCTTAATAGCATTGGCTTGATACCTCAGGTCTAGATACAATGGAATACTGCCTCTTCCTAACATATGATAACACTTTGTACATCCTTACTTCAACTAGAATTTTTCTTTATCCACAGCCCTTTGTTAAAACCCCTGTTACAAGTTTCTCTGAAATTCCTGTCGCAGAATTTGAAGAGCCTCCCTCGTTTTTGCATCTTGCACAGCACTTTTTCATGCTTGTTCATGTTACACTAATTTCTACAGGTACAAAGATCTCCTACCACTTATGAGATCCTCTAAGTAGGAAGACGTTTGAATTGTTTTTGTAAACGTAGGTGTTCAGCCCAGTGAGTACCCAGCATTTGATAAATGATTATTCATTAGTAAATTAGTTGAATTTAAATAGTCTGTCAAACTACCATTATTAACAGTATTATTAAATACACGCAAATCATAGTCAATAATTAAATAAAAATTATTTCAAAATCTTGATGCCAGAGATAAGATAATGTTACCTGGTGCATTCACATGGCCTTTGCGCTATGAGAAAAGTATAGATCATAGATAAGTCCATATTTTATTAAGCCATAAAATGTAATTAAATTTTAAAACATTTTACAGATTATGAGGAACCTTTCTATCAATGTTACCATTTAGATCAAACAATATGCATATACACATATAACACCATGAGGGAAATGTTATTACTTTGTAGATTGGTATAATTGAAGTTGAAGATTCAAAAAAAAGAATAAGTGATAATGCAGACTCAACAGAATATACACTTTATTATAATTTAGGATACCAATTTGCCTATCGTGTTTTCAAATAGATTCTACCACCACTATTTTTAAAATATACATTCACATTATAGCCCTAATAGAAAACTCAGGTTGTACGTCATAGGGTTCAGTAAATGCTTGTTTGTAGTACATTTACCATCTCCCATTCTCTCTTTTTCTCCGTGTCTCCCTAAAATAAATATTAAATTTATAGATTTATTAAGATCGACTTTAGAGATTTACAGAAAATTTTAATTGTGATGAATATAAGGAATATTATTCATATAGATGAATATAGATATATAATCTATTAACATTTGTTCCTAATTTTATTATTTTGATAAGTAATAGTGTTACTGTTGAAGCATCAGTGTACAATGAAAATAATCCCTTTACCTGACAAACAGAATAAATATATACCCTCTGAGTTAACTCATTGTGTCTAATAAATTCTGTCTTTCTTCAGTCAGTAACATTCTGGCATAATGATTGACAGATGTAAATCCTGTTGCACTTCAAGGTGTCCTCAGAGTTTTGAAAAAGGCACAGTACACATTCAGGACCTTAAACATTGGCTTGCTCAAAAGATACTTTATTTTGCACTCCAATTCAACAAAACACAATGCTGCTTTTGCAACAGTTTGGTGTCACCGTGATGAAAGTAACTTGCAGTAAAGTGTTATTTAATTTATCCATAAATTGCGACATATTAAACAGTTAGGGGAAGTTTTGTAAACTGCTTGGAAAAATAAAATGATAGAAGGACTTAAATTCACAAAATACATGCACAAGTGTAAACCCAACAAATTTTATAAAGTACGTATCCTGTCCTCAAATAGATCCAGTAGTTGAATTGTTTCTCTAATGCGAGGTTTTTACAGTTGCACTTACTATTTTTCTCTCTTCACCTGACAGAGTTATACTTCTTAAAATTGACACTAGTATAAACATCTCCCACTAAAAATATTTCAAAAATATTATCTCAAAGTGTTTTTTCCTCCATGGTTAACCTACCAGGCTTGAGAAAGTGAGTAGGCTAGTTATACTGCATGGTAATTAGTTATCACTTTAGCTTCAAGTAAATAGGCTTTGAGTAAGTGTTTGAGTGGCAGCAAATTAGAGCTAACAATTTGCTTTACAATGTCTCTACTCTTGAGAGTTACAAACTCAGTGGCCTAGGATACAGGCAAACAAATGTCTTGGAGGAAACAGACTGCTTGTCAGTATCAGGAATGTGAAGGAGGAGAATAGAGATTGGATAATGCATGCCCAACTATAAGGGTCGCCACTGTTTAATTCAAATGGATTCCTACCTTTGGGCTACAAGGTGTTTGAAAAAGAGCCACTTAAAAAACAAAACAAAAAGACTCTTAGTGAAAGAAAATAAATCAGCCTATCTATGGCTTGAAGTTCTACTCAAAGTACACAGCTGATGTGCACTTCTCCTTCTAGAGAAAATCATCTAAGTATATACAATTCTCGAGTATTAGTCCTTTTATTAAAGGTGTAACTTATTTTATTCTGCCATTTTCCATTCTGGTCTTTAAAAACTGTATTCTGTGTTATAGTTGTTACATAACTTATTCTTGGATAGATAAAATGTCACTGATATTTGCTATTCTGCACAAAGCATATACATGTAAAATTCAATACCTTACTTGAAAGTTTACAACACAAACCTCTGTCCTAAATGGAAGGAATTATATTGTTGTATGCAGAATAGATCTTGTAAGGTAAATAATCTATTAACAGAAAGAAGGCATACCACATGACAAATAATCACAATGAGTCCACCTTTAAGGCTTGATCCTCCGACATTACATTGCACCGACTGCAGTCACAAGTGAGCTTAAGTTTTTGGCAATTTGCTATCATTCTCTGGAACTTAAGTGATAGCAAATTGCCAAGCATGTAAACTAACTTGTTACTGCAGCTGCTTTAGTGCAATGGAATATTGGAGGATCAAGCCCTAAAAGTTCGATAGATGGCAGTATTTCCCATAAAGTTAGTAAACATCACAAACCACAACTGGTTTGGATAATTTCTAATGTTAGTGAAAAATAAAATTTTGCTGAAGACATTGACATTGAGGTGATTATTTTTAGGGAGATAGCTGTTTTTTATTAGTTTCAGTGGTATGAGTATAAATGTAAATTTATATAATATTTTCAGCATTGATACTTTGTTTGAAACAAATAAAAAGAAAAAAAAAAAAAAAAGAAAGTTTCTCCCTTGACCCATCAAAATGTGCAGGATTTTTTTAAATTATCAAATAATTAGGGTTTTTCTATTGTCTTTTAAAAATGATATCTAGGTTATTTTATTATGGTTGCAGGCATATATTTTGAAACATTTTGAGCATTCCTTTAAAATGCCAGTATGTACTTGATTTTGATAACTGTTCCTAATTACTCTAAAATAAGGTAAATTCTGCAGCTGCATGGTTAGTGGTCTACATATGTAAATTTCATTCAAGTTTATTCCTTGTACCATTCTAATTTTCCATATCCTTATAGAATTTTTGCCTGTCTGTTATTGAGAGAGATGTTAAAGTCTTCCAAGATGATACTGGATGTTTCTATTTCTCTTTTTCTCCCTCCGTTTAATTTTTCTTAGATGCAGTTTTAAACCATGTTATTGGATACACACAGATTGAAGGCTTTGATATCTTTCTCTAGTTTAAAATTGTTTTATTGTGACATGTATCTCTCTAGTTCTAATAATGCTGCATACCTTAAAGTCTAATTTGTTCCCTATAGCTACTCCAGAGTTTTATTTATTTATTTATTTTCATTTCTTTTTGGTTATGGTTTGCCTGGTATTCCATTTTCTAAAATTTACTTTCAAACTTTATTGTTCTTAATTTTGTATTCTTAATTTGTAAATGTTTCTTGTGTACACTTAGCTAATATTTTTGTTGTTTAGTTTAAAATGACATCATAATTTCTCTTGCTTATATTGATTTACTACATTTATAACTACCTTAATTACTGATATAGTTTATTTTAAGTATATCATTTGCTATTTGTCTAAACTTTTTCTTCTCTTTTTTCTCCTCATATTCTCTGAATTATTTACTTAATTTTATTCATTTTGATCTCCATTCACGTTTTAAAAGTTTTACTTTTTTATGCTTTTTTCTATTTAAAAAATTACTGTAGATATTATGATTATTTCATTCTACCTTACATTATAATTTCATTGCTTGGAAATAGAACAACTTTAAAATTGTTTTATGTCATTCACCCTTTTTCGTTGTTTTTTTTTTTCTATTTTTGTCATCTTTTGTATTAAGTCCTGTATGAAATTGGCATTATTGCTTTTGTGTTAAATAGCAAATAATCATTTTAAAGGTCAATACTAATT